TCATCATGGTAGGCCAATGGTAGGCCATTGACACTCATCATGGTAGGCCAATGGTAGGCCATTGACACTCATCATGGTAGGCCAATGGTAGGCCATTGACGCTCATCATGGTAGGCCAATGACGCTTGACCCGAGAAGTATGCGAAATGACGTAAATTTTCCCTCATCAATGAGTAAAGTAACGAGTTACGATTTGTTTAGATCTATGCATCATGCAATATAATCAGACGAGTACCCTTTACCTGAGACAAGAAGAATGGGGCAGTCAGGTTTGTCTCCAGGAGCTCGCCCCACTCCTGCTGAGTCACCTCTCCAGCTTTTGTGGGGTAGAATTGAGATGCGTTGTTTACTAATACGTCCAGTCGCCCCCAAGCCTCTAAGGACTCCTCTATAATTGTCTGAGACGTTTTATGTGAATCTTTGGCAAGGTTAGCTTGAATTTTACGAGCTGAATCCCGTCGTACACTGAAAGAAATTTTAGATACTCGTTCGTTTTCTCTTTCTTTTACCCAATTACTGTCCATGTATACAGACCCCCAGTTGTCGTGTAGTAAAAGAAGAGAAAAAAATACTAATGTACGTGATTAACAAATCCCCTATGATCATAAGTTGCAGAGCTGACGTGTTGTCAAACACGGCTGTTCTATAGACAGCTCAAGCAATGAACAATTCACACTGATTTGCGGGTCTAATAACATGCTAAGCTTTTTACAACTGGAGTGTGGACATTATGATGCAAATTAAGGCTGGCTGTTTTCGATCGGTAGATTTTCTTATGAAACCTAGCGACCAGGCACGCATTTCTTAAATGCGCTATTAATTGCTGCGAAGAAGAAGGCTGTAACTATACTCTAAGGTTTATTGTAAATTTTGGTTTCGTTCAAGGCAAAGATCGTTCAAGGCAAAACGATTGTAATAAATAACTCTATCTTAAATCGTTTGCAAGTCCAGCCAAAAGCAAGCGGAATACTAATATAATCGATGTTTTTTCCCCATAATAAACCAATGTATGTTAAAAATGCCGAAAATTTATTTTAAATATCGTACAGTATGGAAAGCCATACTGGACAAAAGTGGACGAGAATAATTTTGTTGGCCGAGAAATAATTTTGTCTTTCCAGATGTATGTTCGATGGTCCAGAAATATTTTTGACGATTGAGAAAACTTTTTCATTGGTCGAGCAATAATTCGCACTGACTAGTAATGAATGTGGTAAGTTCAGAAATATTTTAAATAATCGAGAAAACTTTTTCATGGGTCATACAATTTTCTTACTGGTTGAGAAGTTTTTGGTAGATCGAGAAATAATTTTGTCGATCGAGAGTTTTTTGCCGATCGAGAATTTTTTTCGCCGATCGAAAATTTTTTTTGCTGATCGATAATTTTTTTTGCCGATCGATACTTTTTTTTGCCGAAGGATAATTTTTTTGCCGATCGATAATTTTTTTTTCCGATCGAGAATTTTTTTGTTGATCTTTTTTTTGTCGGTCGAGAATTGTTCTGTCAATCGAGCTGGTCAGCGGGCGTTTTGCGCCAAAATATAATCACATGGGACATTACATGGTACTAACGAAAATGGGGGATTGTTTACCCAAAAAGTAAAGAGTTGCGGGCGTTCTGAAGTATCATTGTAACAATGTTTGTACAGCTAGCAGCTGCTTACTGTTGTTGTATTGTTATGGAATTTTAAATTGGTGAGAGGTAACGATGAAGACCTAGAGAACTTCTTCTTGTCTCTTCACGACTGTGTTACGCGAATAGAACACAACAGAGCCGATAATAACCCCAGGTATGTCAAGTACCTGTGCGAGCGCGTGGAGGGGCAAGTCCAAATTGTTGTTGCTGTTTCGCTTGTTCTCGCCAACTCTCAAAGCTAACAGGTATTGAAGGAAATGTTTCAATATCTTCTTCATTCCCTCTGGGAGCTTCAGCAAGATTCGGGAAACAAAATGCTGGGAAATATACACACGGGAAAGCGTACGCCGAGATCCGTCAGAAGGAGGTCATCTCGGGTCGATTTGCTATTATTATTATTATTATTATTATAATTATTATTATCATTATTATTATTATTATTATTATTATTATTATTGTTATTATGAAATCCGAGCTTGCCCGATGTTTTCTTCATGATGAAGGCTCTATAAAGGTATAGCATGTTACACTTGCAAAATTGAAAAAAATGAACGCGTACTCTGTTTTCGCTCGTGATTTTGTATTAACGGGAAAGATACTTTCTTTTATTTATACCTTGCTAAGCCATATTTTACAGTTCACACAATTACTGACGTTTGAGTGACTGAAACAAATTAGACAGAAATTAATATTCTGATTGCACTTTGAAGAGTTTCGCGTGCCATCTTTACAGCATTTCGCGATAAAATTAAGTAATTTCAGGTTGGTCAGTCTTAGATTTGACCACTTTCTTTTTTCCTTTGTGATGTAATTTATTTTACAACTCTCTTCAAAATATCCCTACATTCATTGACTTTTCTGTGATTAATAGTGTAACCAGGCCTACACCCTTTCCTCTGGGTTTCGTGCTGCTGCATGAGATGAGGCATACGTTTTCACATTTTTTTCCATGTCTAAAGGGTG